ACATTGGTCACCATCCATCAACTTTCTCTATTCTACTTTACACCTAGGAACGCCCACAGAGGCTTGGAAGGGTTACAATAAAGACATGCAGGCTTCCAGGTTAGACAGCCCCGGGGTCCAGCTGCCTCTGCACCTTCTTACAACCCAACCAAAATGAGAAAAGAAAAAAAAAAGTCAAGGGGAAGTTCAGTGAACACAAACTTGAGAAATCTCTGCTTGTTAGATTACAAATGACTCCAGACTGAAGAAAGACCTGGGGAACCTTGCTGGCAATTGCACGTTCCAAGACAGGATGTCATGTTTTGGAAAGGGAAAGCTGAAGACAGAGTAGGCCTTAAGGAGAGCACTGTGTACTTGACTTATTACCCACTTTGCTGTTTTGGATCAGCATTCTCAGAAACCCTGGCTGAGCCTGGCCAAACTAAACAGAAGCGCTGGTTCATGGCAAGTTTCCTCTTTGCAGTGGGGCTCTTCTTTGGTGAAATGGACAATGAGATAAAGAATAAAGCAAGTTGGGCATGGCGGTGCATTTCTATAATTCCAGCATTCAAGAGGCAGAGGCAGGAGGATTGCAAGCTCAAGGCCAGCCAAGGGGCCCTCAGGAGTACTTAAAATATAAGCTATGCTAGAGAATAAATCTATAAAACTGAGCTACAGGTGTGACCACTTCAACAAACAGAATCTCTTGCTATTACTTCATCTCTTAAAGGCAAAAGCCTACAAAATCTCATAAAAATGACAAGAAAAATAGATTCAATAGATTGACAAAATGGCAGGTGCCATGACCATAAATAAAACCAAAAAGTATGGAAAAATACTGAAAAATAATTTACCAGATAATTGGCAGGCAGCTAAAAGTTATTAATATTTAAAATTTGCAAATTAATTAGAAAAAGAACCACCCTCAAATGAAAAAATGGATAATTCCAAAATATTTTTATAGATATTCAAAAAAGAAGAGCTACATATGGCCAGAAGATATGGGAAAACATGTTCAGCCTTATTAATAGGGAAATGCAATATAAAGTGGACTGTATTTCTCACACATAAAGTTGATATTCAAATGATGCTAGCTCGTGTTGGTCCGTCTGCATCTCAGGTACTGACTCTGGCATTGCACTGGGGAGTAAAATTTGGTAACATTTTCTGCAGAGCAGTCTGGTCCATGTATCAGTGGAGTGTCCATATTCTTTGATTCAATAATGTCCTTTCAAATTTTTGCACTAATGCAATGATTGAAGATGTAGGCATGGATTTTACTGCACAATGTTATTTGTAACAGCTTAAATATATAATAATAGGGAGGTTTGTGATAAAAAACATAAAGGCACATTTTATGGTGGAAAACTGTGTGACATAAAAATGATAACGTACAAGTGTATTTCTTATTATGGAAAGAAGACTGAAAAACAGTGCAATAGAAAGTTTCAAGAGAATGAATAATTTAATCTCTTTCTAGGTGAACATTATTTATGCATTATGTATACATACATGCATGAAAATACACCATTGCCTAGATAACCGCAAAAAGTCCAGAAAGAGCCTGAACTTGCAAAATAGTTTGCAAGACCCCATCTCCAAAATAACCAGAGCACAATGAACTGGAGGTGTGGCTCAAGCGGTACAGTACCTGCTTTGCAAGTGTGAAGCTCTGAGTTCAAACCCCAGTCTCATCAAAATAAGTAAAGTCCACAAAGGTATGAATCAAAATATTACATGTATTTATAGGAAATTTATTCTGATTATTTTATTTTCTAAAATAAGCATTTATGATAAGTAAAGTAAAATCTATTTTAAAGAAACATGTGATATACATACACAACAGAGTATTATTCAGCCATAAGGAAGAATGGGATTATGTTATTTGCAGGAAAGTGGATGGAACTGGAGATAAGTTAAATAAGCAAGTCTCAGAAAGACAATCTTGTATGCTTTCTCTCCTATGTGAAATCCAGAATTTAAAAAAGGACATGAAACAACAGAAGGGTGAAGATGGGGAAGTCAGTAGAAGGAGGGAGGGGGACAAGAGAGGGATGGGTGGGTGAATGTGATCGAAGTTCATAGTATACAAGCATGAAAATGTCATATTGAAACCTATCATTGTACAATAAATAAAATAAGTTTAAAAAAATAAAAGGAAAGAAAAAATGACTCAAAGAGACTTCTAGAATCTAGAGAGCTGGGCATGGTGGCACCACCTGTAATCCCAGCTACATAGGAGGCTAAAGCAGGAGAATACCTTGAGATCAGGAATTAGAGGACAGCATGATTGGCATGGCAAGATATTTTCTCAACAAACAAAAATAAATCGGATACAGACACAAAAATCAATGATCATTTAAAATCTAATTTAGACAATGACATTGATGGATAGTAATGTTGAATACAGTATATTTAAGTATAAATTTGAAAAATATAGTCAGGACTTAAAAATCCACAACTTTATTGATGGGTGTAAAAGAACTTGGATAAATGGACATTCCATACTTTTGAATTGGAAGAACTATCACACAAATCTAATGGTTCATAGTTCATTCAATATTTTCTATATTAGAATCAAAATCCCTATTGATTTTGTTTAGACTATATGAAACTAAATTAAAAATTCACACTAAGTAATAAATAGGTCAGATCAATCAAAAAAGAATAGATATAAGAGAATTTGCACTACCACAAATTTAAATATGCTGTAAAGTTACAGGAGTTAAATCATTTTGGCAAACTTAAAAATAAGATAGATAATAGGGTGAAATAAAAAACCCAGGAGACCAAATTCCCTTTCACATTTAGCATGTGGAAAAAGAGGCATTCGATCAAACTGTGAAAGGAGAGATGGGTACTAAGCAAAGGTTCCAGTGTAACTGATTAACTACTTATTTTTTTTTTATTAGATGTCTTTGTCACATCATGGTCCAAATAAGTTCCAGATGGAATAAACTTTTAAGTAGAGAACTATTTTTCCAGCTAGGGAAATAAAAAAGTATTTCCAATACCAGAAGCAAATATAGGATCTTAAGAACAAAGACTGATAGATTTGAGCATATAAAAATTTAAATCATCTAGCAACACTCCACAAACAACAGTAAAATGTGATGGACTTAAAAAAACCACTTGCTGTATATACCAAAAAAGAAAAAAGTTCCTGGCCTTACTATGTAAAGAGCTTTTACAAATCACTAATAGCAAATATGATTGTAATGGCAAAGGGCAAAAGTTATGGCCAGGTAGTTAGCAAAAGAAAACAGTACAATGCCCAGTAAATGTAGTAGCAAATGTTCATCCTGAAAAAAATTGAATTTGCTGGAATGATGCTTCTATTTACCTGCCAAATTAGCAAAAATATTAAAAAAATAATAGCATATTATTATACTACTAAAATATACTATATTGATGAGCATGTAGCAAAATACTCTGCTAGAGGAACTGTAAATTTATACAACTCTCCAAATGAGGAATGGACCACACACATCAAGAAGTTAAAAAGGGGGCTGGTGAAGTGGCTCAAGTGGTAGAGCACCTGCTTAGCAAGTGTGAGGCCCTGAGTTCAAACCCCAGTATCACCACCACCAAAAAAAAAAAACAAAGTGAAAAGGCTTAGACCTGTTAATTCAAGAACTTGTAAATTCCTCCTAAAGAAAGGATCAGAATAGTCCACAAATATTTTTATCTAAAAATTAGTGAAGAAAAATTACAAGTGTTCAGCAATTGGTGATTGATAAAGTAAATTACGGTACTTGTATGCATTGGGTTAGTATACAGTTAACGCAGAACATTTTGATCACGATGTAACAAATGAGAACTGTAGGCTGCAGAACTGCAGGATGTCAGCTTGGTTGAAAAGTATGTGTAAGTATGCTTGCTGGACAAATGTTCCCCCATATATAAATAGTGGCATTTTAAGGGTGATGGGATTATGTGTGCCTTTTCCCTTTTCCTCCTTTTTGTTTCATTGTTCAAGCATTGACTGACTTCCTATCATATGTTAGATATTTCTATATGTTCCAATGGTCTTCAATTGACTATATATTAATTTGTAATTAGAAAAAGATATATAATTTGTGGCCAGACATGGTGGCTCACACCGGTAGTCCCAAACTACTTGGGAGGCAGAGATTAGAATTATTGCAGTTCAAAGCCAGCCTTAGCAAAAAGTCAGCAAGACTGTCTCAACCAACAAGCCCTGTGTGCCTGACATCGAAGCTACCCAGGAGGTACAGGTAGGAGGATTGTGGTTCCAGTCCAACCCACCTCTCCCTGCCCTCCCAGACCCTATCAGAAAGAGAATTAAAGCAAAAGAGGCTGGAGGCAGGGCTTAAGTGGTAGAGCACCTGCCTAACAAGCACAAGGCCCTGAGTTCAAACCCCAGTACCACCCTACTACAAGTACTCTGTGTGTGTGTGTGTGTGTGTGTGTGTGTGTGTGTGTTTGTGTGTGAGAGAGAGAGAGAGAGAGAGAGACAGAGAGAGAGAGAGACAGAGAGAGACAGAGAGAGAGAGAGAGAGAGAGAGAGAGAGTGTGTGTGTGTGTCTCTGGAATGTTGGTCTAACATTCCAAACTGACTTCTTCGAGATGCTAAAACTTTATTTGTAAGACATGCACTTAATATTGAAAACATGAAACATTAAAACGAACCAATTAGGGGCATATTTAGGCCACCGCACGTGCTACGGTTAGAAACCCTGCGAAACCACACTCACCTGTCCCAGCTGCTCCTATCAGTGTGCGTGTGCAGAGACTTAGGGCTCCTTCCTAATAGGAGCCTCAGAGGGACAACTGAGGAGCCTGACACCTCCCTAGCATCTTTAATTCCCCCCCCCAATCCCGTTGGGCCCACGACAGGAGGGCAGGGATGACTATCTTGCGCGTGGGGACTCTTGACGCGGGCAGGTTATGCCTTGCGCAGAACTGACGCCCAGGTCAGAGCCGTGGGCGGGAAGGGCTGGGGGTGGGGGGTGACGGCCAGGTAGGGGGTGATGGCCAGGCCGGGGCGGACACCTTACCGCGGCTTGCTGGAAGGCGCCTTTGGTGTAGGTGCCGCCGCCGCGGTAGGTGATGGCCGGGAGCTCGCGGCTGAGCAGCGCGCACTTGTGCTGGTGCGCGCGGCGGGACGAGATGTGATCCACGCGCGCCACCACGTTGTTCTTTGACGAGAAGGTCACGACGGCCACGCGCGTGGCCGTGGACACCACGGGGAAGTCGGACAGCAGCTTGCGGACGAACTTGAGCTCGTTGAGGAAGTTGACTGGGCCCACGCTGGACGACTCGTCCACCAGGAAGACGAGCTCCAGGCGCCCGCTGAGCGCCCGCAGCCGCCGCACGCGTCGCCGGAACGCCTGGCCCAGCCGCTCCACTTTGCTCCCCGCCGCCTCCTCGTCGCCGGGCGCGGGCGGCACCATCAGCCGTCCCGGGGCCCCCGGGGCCGCGGCTTCGGGGAACAGGCGGAAGCTGAAATTGCGCGACGGGGACAACTGCTGAAATGTCGACCAGCCCGAAACGAGAGCCAGACCCCAGCAACAAAAGGCCAGGCGCGGCCACATTGCGCTGGGGACCAAGCGATCGCCCCCCCGAGCACAGGCGGCGGCCCCGGCGGGGAGAGGCGCCCGGACGCCCCGCTCACTCACAGAAGGACGTGCGACAAGAGGGACGCGGGGCAGTGGCCACGAGCCTCAGCGCCCTTTCATCTGACACCAGGGACACAATCCAGACTCCGGCAGCTCGGGGACTCAGGAGGGACCGGCACGCGCTCTATCCTTCTTGCTCTTCTCTCTCTCACTCTCTCCCTTTTTCCCCCTTCCCTCTCTCCTCCTCCTCTCTCCCTGAAGCCTATAAAATGTTTGAAGGAAAGGGGGCAGTCAGGAAGAATCTCCCGCTTCCCTCCTTCTCTCCCCCTCTCCCTCCTCTCTGTCTCTCCCTCTCCCCTCCTATCTCTGCCTCTATCTCTCTCCTCCCCCTGTCCCTCTCCTCCCGGGATCCAGCCAAAGACATGGAGATTCCATGACACCAGAACCCCGCGTCTGTCAGGCTGTCAACATTCCCTCAGCAAGCTCACCAGCCCGAGCCCTGATTGATCCCATATGTCTGGCAGGAGCTGCAGAGGAATTCACTGGAGATGGATCCAGATCCCGAGAGTGCCACAGTAATTGGAAACACTTTGTAGACGAACACACACACCACACATACACACACACACACACACACACACACACACACCACCACCACCCCCCACACACAGAGGGATTGGCCCCGGGAGTTGTAATATCCTTTGAAAACTGCTTGCTCACCTTTGACGTTCCTTTTCTACCCTTCAGTGCCCTTCCAAGCCTTCACCCGTAGATGTTTACACAGCTTTCCTGATAGGGATGTGTGATCAGTAGTGTGTGATTGTGTGCAGACTCTTGGGGTCCCCCCTCTCAGATCTCACCCTGTGCATCCCATAGGGAGGATTTATCACATTGCCTCAGTTGAGCATTTATTGATTCATCTGTTCATTCGTTCCTGCATTTAACAAACATTTTTTGAGTGCCCAGTATAAGGCAGGATTTATGCTAGACACCAAGAATATGAGAAGGAACAAAAATTGACACAGATCCTGTCCTCAAGGAAAAATGTAGAAGTAATGTGACCATCAATAACAAGAAATATACATACATATATGTAATACACAAAAATATATAATATCTACATGTAACAACAACAGTCCATACTAAGTGCTATTAAAAAAAAAGCTTAGATAGATTTGACCTTGGTCAAGGCCAGGAAAGGCTTCTATGAGAATATGAAGTTTATGCTAATTCCTGAAGTATGAGTAGGGGCCTCTTTTCCCTAATTCCTTTTCTTTTGATCTGTTTCAACAGGTGAGATCCACCTGGCCTTCTATCAACTTTTAGAAACACAAGCTGCCACTTTGGGTGTTTTTTTTTTCCCAAAACAAGACCCTAAAGGGAGTGCAAGTGTAAAGTAAGCACACACTGCAAGAGAGGCTGAAAGATTCTAGCTAGAAGTCAGGAGCCCTGCATGGAAATGCCTGTGCAGTTAAAAAAAACCCACCAAAACAGAGTCACTTCTCATCCTTGGCTCCATTTCTGCATCTCTTTCGTGATGGAGCTCAGCAACCTCAAACTTTTCTCTGTCTCTAACAGTGAATGACTAAATTCCATCTAAATTTATTGAAATACTTTCAAAATGGGAACAATCACAGTACATTGATTGAAAGGTTAGGGCTCAGGCATCAGTTTGCCTGAGATGAAATCTTGGCTCTGCCATTGACTGGTTATATCAGTTTTGAAAATGGAGTGATAATGGCACATTAAGAGTCAGTATAAAAATCACATCATAAAAAAGTAAAGCTCTTACAACACAGCATGTGCTCAGGAAGTGCTGGTTGCTGTTAATGCCACCTTTTATCATGAATGCCCTCAAAGTTCTTAATTTTCTAACACAATTATTGAGCATCTACTCTGTACTGAGGATTGGAAGGTGAATGAGACTCCATCCCAGGCCTCCAGAAATTCAAAATATAGCAGAAGAGAACAAAGAGTTGCAAATGATTACAAAAAATATGATGATTGTAAGATGAAAAAGAGGGAGTGAGAAGAAAGATCTAAATCCTCCTGAGACTGAGCAAGATCTCATTGAGGCTGGAAGTTCTTTAAAAAGGGAAGTTTTCTCAAATTATATCTACTCTGCGTTATTTAAAACACAGCATTAAGAGCTAGCATTTCAGGACCTTTATGTGTGAGGCTCCATGGCACCTGCTCCTACCATCTCATGTTCCCCACGAAAGTCCAGAGAGGTAGACAGTTGCCTTAGGAGCTTCTGGTTTCGGGTAGTAGGCATCCAACTTCTCCTCCTTTAAAAAGGGATTTCTTGGCCAAAGTGACTAAGTTGGGGATGAGGAGCTGGTCTCAGAAAATCTGAGAAAAGGAAGTAAGAGTGTGCACTCCTATAATCCCAGCACTTGGGAGGCTGAGGCAGGAGGATGCAGAGTTGAGCATAGTGAGACCATGTCTCAAAAAAAATCAAAACAACCACCAAACAGACTACAGAGGCTTAATATTTCCAATATTTCTCTCACTTCTGCTGCTCTTTGCTTTCTCTTATTTACTTCTTCGGATTTATGACCTGAAAAAGATTCTTCCTCTCAAACTAGTTTTTTAAAAGGCTGTCAAAACCCACTATTACCATTACTTTAAAGGACTGTGTTGTAGCAGTCATGCGTCATGTGCCCATCCCCTAATCCAGCACTGTGGTTGTGGGAATGGATCACCTTAATTCTCCTAACTTAGGTCATGAGATCACTGTGGCAGATATGTTGGTCACCTACCGCTCCTCACAACACACCTCTAGTTTTCCCTTCTTTTTTTTTTTTTTTTTGGTGAGCCTGGGGTTGCTCAGGGCTTGGCACTTGCAAGCAGTTGCCCTACTGCTTGAGGCACACCTCCAGTCCACTTTGGTGATGGGGTCTCCCAAACTGTTTGCCTGGGCTGGCCTCAGCCATGATCCTACCGATCTCAGTCTCCCAAGTAGTTAGGATTATAGGCACAAGACACTGTCACCCATCGAGTCTCCCCTTGCTGAAAAACAGTAGAGCTCCCTACAGTTTCCTATATTAAGACTACCATTTCCTAGCCTCTCCTGTGGCTGATATGACATATAACTAGATTCTAAACTAGTTTTTTGCAGTAGCTTCCAGGAAAGTTCTTTAAAAGACAGTGGTTATCTTTTGTCTGTTGTCTCTTCCTTTATCCTTTTCTCTGCCTTCCTGTCAAGAGCATGAATATGGTGACATGATGCTAGCAGCCATCTTGGACCAGGTAAAATACATATTATCATCCAGGGATGCGGGGAGCCTGGGTCCCTGTAGACTTCATGGAGTAGAACCACAAGACTCATGCTCACTCCTTTTATAACAGTTTTTCTGTTAAATGGTCCTCATGTTAAGAAAGTGGGGACATACCAGAGGCAGAGAGGTCGTGCCTGAGTGTTACTAAGATTGCTGTTCCAATTCTTGCCCCTTCTCCCCAGCACTATATTCTTCCCACTATCCTCTAGTCTAAAGCAGTGGTTCTCAACAAGGGGGAGGGGGATGAATTTTCACCAACTTTGAGAATATTGGGTAATATCTGGAGACATTTGGTGGTAGTGGTGCCACTAGAATGTGTGTAAAGACCATGGAAGCAGCAAGTCATACTGCAGTGCACTAGACAGCGCTCACAACAAAGAATCCTGCAGCCCACAGACCAACAGTGCTGAGTCTGAGAAATCCTGCCAAGACCAGGATAATAGGCAGAAAATGGTAAAAACTCACTCTACCTGAAACTAAGATCGAGAAGCACCCAAGATGAAATTACAATGTGGAGCTGAATTGAGAAAAACTCCCCCGGTCTAAGGCATCTCACGATATAAATACTTCTGGTGTGTGTGTGGGGGGAGGGGGTTCACGTGTTGGTGGGTAGGGAAGGAACAATGTGTTATGTTCTTACCTACATCCTGTTTCAGAGCCCCATGGTTTGATCAATAGAAATGGAACCTCCATTCCTCTTCCCACCCACTGGGACCTGTGTCTGAGTTGAAGCTATCACCTTCATCCACCTTTCACTGCATCCCTCTTTCTACGTTAAATCAGTTTTGTAAAAGATAAGATGCATTTGTGTTTGGGGAAAGTCAGAAGTGGGACTGAGGAAGAAAGGAGAAGGTAGCAGTGGCAATACCCCCCGCAATATCAAGTCCAGTAATGGGAGCAGAGGCAGGAAAAATGTCTGTTTCCATGCATGCCTGAAGTCATGTTTTGTTTGGTTCTTCGTTCAGAACCCAGTGTTGGTAAGTCACAACAGCAAGCAGCGGTGACAGGAGGAAGATGCCCTCTTGTGACTAAACTTTGTAAGACTACCTTTCTGTTGTGAATTTAACAAAGACATTCTCCCACATACAGATCTAGGGAAAAATATGCCACCGTGTATGCTTGTTTCCTAAGTAGAATTACCTGAAGATGGAGTTTATGGTGGAAAAGCCCTGGCATTGTGATACTGAGAACAATTAAAGAGCAATTGATATAAATTAATACTACGAATTTGATGATAACACTAGATGTAGACAAAATGTTTCGAAATACCCACCATTGTATTCGCTTATCTCATTCCATCATGCCAAATACCCTCATAAATGAATATAATGATTTTCCATTTTTATATGATTATCCCATTTCATAGGTGGAGAAACAGAACTATAAAAGTTAGCCATAATATCTGAAAACATGAATGATTTACTGTATTTCATTTCAATGCATGCCGTGTCCCAGTGTGTTATTCCTTACTAGAAATGCAAGCTTGCAATAAATATGGTCCATTAACATGTAATTTTTGTTCCTCCCTACATCTGTGTCTGTGATGCACTGCCTCACCTAACTTGGCTTCTGATTTCCACTGAATAAAATTGAGGTTTTAATCTAAACATAGATCTGCCATATGATCCAGCAATCCCACTCCTGGGGATATACCCAAAGGAATGCAACACAAGTTACTCCAGAGGCACATGCACACCCATGTTTATTGCAGCGCTATTCACAATAGCCAAGTTAGGGAAACAGCCAAGATGCCCCACTACTGATGAATGGATCAAGAAAATGTGGTATTTATACACAAT